ATAGCGAAGCATTGTGTTCGGGTGATAAACTCAAGAGCCTTACATTGAAGTTTCCACGTTGGTCTAGTACTTGGAATAACTGGATAAGTATTATATTTATAAAAGATGTTATGGTCAATGTTAAATATTAGAATATGTTGAAAAGTAATTTATTAAAGTGTGCAGATATGGGAATGCATGAAACATTCAAATTTTATTGAGATGACGTTCCTAAGTATAAATTATACTTTGGGTAAGAGTATTTATATTACTGTTGCCTCAAGTTATTATATCTCCCTCTCCAACTACCAGACATAAATCCAATTGAAAATGTGTGGGATGAATCGAAACGAAGAATATAAATAAAACCCATATGCTTACCGAATGAACTAAAAGCTGAATTATAGGAAGAATGGAATGATATTGATAATGAATATTTACAAAAAATTGTATTCAATATGCCTAACACCAAAGATGATATAAAACAAGGTATTACCTAACCAAATACCAATATAACATTTATGTATTACTTTCTGTATCAATTTACCCAAGAAGTATTATTAAATAAGAATTTTTACGAGGAGTCTGAATATTTTTGTAACCTTAAAAGTAAACATCACAGGGTGTTTCACCTAATTTTATCATTTGAAATATCTCTGCTGTAAATAAAATTTTAGAAAAATGATTCCTACAAAAATTGCATAGTTTTATGGGGGCCAACGTATAGTAACAAGTTTTATTCTATTGAAAATGGTTAATGAGATAAGAAGGTCAACTTTGTTTAAATAGAACGCTATATTTTATTTGTCTCTACACGATAATTCACTTCAAAGGTGAATTCAACACGAAATCCTTCAAGGTCACCAAATGTAGTATAAACAAAATTTAGTGTCTATTTTCCGGTGCCACTGCGAAGTAATGTTTTATTTAATCTCTGGCTCTTGACAACGTTTCAGTTGTTTATCAACATGTCGTTACATTCACGAGCGTTTTTACTTACGAAATGTTCAAAATTCTTGTCGTTGATTTTGATATATTTTAAATAGAGCTCAATCACCGAACCGATAACACGTTGCATTATTTTAGAAGACGACAACCATGCGCACGCTATAATAATTCGTTCTTTCATATCCGGTTGCATTGTAGGTGATTGTCCATACACTATACAGGGTGGACCAATAAGAATTACCACCCTGAATATCTCTGGAATCATGAATGTAAGAGAACAATTTTTCGAATGAAGGTATTTACTATAAAATCGTCATAGATTCTCTGAAATGATGTGAAGATCATCCTTGTTTTTTCAACGATACGTCATAGTTTTTTATTTATTTATTAATAGCAGTCCTCAAGACGAACGCAAAGTCCTGTAACAGAAGGTCAGTTAAGGTCACAGAGTCACAAATGCCACTTATAAATTCTGACGTCATTAAAAGAGCAATTGAGTCAGCAATAGTAATGTAATCAACCTTCTGTGACATTGATTGATCTGATAAAAGTCTTTGAATTCATTCTAAGGGTTGTTATTAAGAAATAAATAAAAAAACAAGGCATGTCGTTAAAAAAACAGGGATGACTTTCACATCTCTTCAGCGTCTCTACCTACAAAACAATCGTTATACTGTAACCAATACGATGGTCGTTTTCATACCAAACAATTTTTATTGAAAAAATTTCTTTCTTTCTTTCATGGTTCTAGAGATATTCAAGGTGGTAATTTTTATTGGTCCACATTATATACTGCATCTCATAAAAAGTAATCCAGGTGTTAAATCTACCTCTTGCCACCAGCCTTAATCAAGGCAATGTTGGC